ATACATTAATGAATCACAGTGCTGAGTGTGGTCTGTAATCCTTTTTTCAGCTACGAAAGATTTTCTTAGCTGTAAATCCCGTTCTGTGGTGGAAATGGGAAGTTGTGCAAACTGCAGCTTTTCAGTGGGACCAAATTCCAGCTCTGGTATTTTGGGTTGGGGCTTGTGCCTTCCCTTTTGGCCTCACTCGAGGAAATAAAGGCTTTGTCTCTGCTCCATTATAAAGCACTGATACTACAAGCCACACAAGCTGGCTGCACCGGCACACGGTCTTATTTCCAAGTTAAATCTCTCTCTCAGGGAGCTGTGGTTGCTGTGCAGTGTTAAACTGCATCTTCAGGGGTGGGTGCGATCCTTCTTGGAGCTGTGGGGAACCGTGGAGATGAAGCCAGCATCTCGTTCCCTCCAGGAATGTCGCCGTGCTGCCCGCCTGCTCTCGGAACACCACGGGCGCTTCCCGGTAGCCTGTGTTTGTCCACAGGAGCCATACAGGTGGGAGTGGTGATGGAGGTTTGCTGAGTGCTGGATGCATGTCCCGATACTTTAATTGATTTGCTGGATATTTTGTATACTCTCTCATGCGTTCGTGAATTCATGCACTTTTGTGTTTTCTGTGCGTGTCTTTGCCCTGTGCTTCAGCAGGGTTCACGTGTATTTCCTTTTGGAAATTCATAGGAATTTTCTTTTAAAATTTATCAAAACTACTCATTTCACTGGGGGGAAAAAGCAAGACTTAAAAAATACGTGAGCTGCCTCTACTGTTTCCCTTATAAAACGTAGACAAGGAGCGATGTCTTCTCTTTCTCACTCCATCTTCTGTGACTCTTGTATAACATCATAATATTCTTGGAGAATTTACATTGTATTAAAATGTGGTATGAAACCTACCATGACCTTTGCAAACAATACATCCTTTAATGTGGCTTCGGGGAGGGGTTAGCGAGGGTGTAGCCATAAAAATCTTCTGGGTTCAAGATGAGGTTGAGATTTTTGTGAGTGCTTTTGTCGTAGCAGCAACTGTTTGATTTAGTGGCCCCTGCTACAATGGGTTGTGAGAACAAAGCCAGAATATCCCGTGTATGAGTTCACTAAATGTAAGACCCGCCAGGAAAATTGGGGCAGGAGCTTCCTCAGCCTTCTCTCTGAAATAAAACACGTGCAAAAGGTATTTGTAAAAACTTCTTATCAATTGCTTTGTTTCCTGATCTACGTTGTCTTGTGTGGGAATCAATGAGAGGTACCAGAGCCAGGGAGGAGAGAGGGAGAGCTTATTTGCTTTATAATTATGGTACTTAATGTGTGCCTTGATATTCTAGTGAAATTTCAAGGTTAAGGGAGTTCAGAGCACCCCCAGCACAAAACTGCTTTCAATTTGCCTAAGCTTTACCCTTTCTGTGAAGTTGGCTGTGGTTCTGCCCCGGCTGTCCCACCGATCGCCTACACAAGGCGCTTGCATTAAGTAGGGTGAAAAATAGCAAAGGTCAGGAGCCAGCAAACCCATGGGCCGCAGGGGGAAAGTCCTGGGACTGGTCACGGTTGCTACAGGATTTCTTAGACCTCTGAAACCCTCAGACTTTCTGTAGGTGATTATTTTTTATCTACTGCTTTTGTTTGAGCGGTGGTTTACAGGGTGTTTGGGCACCTCTCTAGTCCCTGGAGGTCTGTGTCTTTGTTCACAGTGTGTGCTGCTGTTCTGTGGTGCATTTTAACCTGGAAATGCTCCCAGTTACCAGTTTCTGCAGGGAAACCCGTATGGTTGTTGTGGATGGGGCCATTCACACCACCTCAAGGTCACCCTGCTAGCGGGGAGATGGGGACAGCGAGGGAAGGATTCTGATTCTTCCTCACTTTAATCATCCAGGCTTCCCATGTTCACCAGGCAGTGGCCCTATTCTTCCTACAACAAAAAAGCTGTGCCTGGAAATGAGCCCTCATTTACATCCTCAGCCATCAGCGTGCTGGGGTGAGGAGGGAGCCCCATGACCAACCATGGGATGTGATCTGCCGTGGGCTGAGGTGCTGGGGTGTGATGCTGCAGCCAACCCCAGCATCCTCCTCTGACTTTTCCATGTGTGTAAACCGGTGCTTTCATGGCTCCCTAATTCCAGCCCAGCCTGCCCGGCCGTGGCACAACGCGCCCAGCAGTGAGCACGGACATTGCTGCTGACCTCGGGATCCCCCAGTGCCCGCGATTTATGGCACCGCTGTTGGGAGCAGGGGGAGGGCCGGGAGTTAAGCTGGGGCTGAGCTAAACCCTGCAGATAGAGGGCTCTTCTGTCCTAGGCTAATCCCCTGGCCCCCTCCCAGCGTTTATCAGATAGCTGAAGGTAGAGATTATGCCCTTGGTGACTACAAAGTCATGTTTAGCTGACTCCCTTCAGCAAGATGCTCCGATAGCCCCTGTGCTGATCTAGGCCAGCATTCCTCTGGGGCTGCCTTAAGCACATACCTGAGGTTGTCTGTCCTGTAAAACTGGGAATGTGGTAGTGTGGTGGTGACACCATGAACATTTCTTCAGTTGAAGTTTTTGTTTCCTTCAGTGGTCCCTTTATTTTAAGGTTTTATAGCAATTGCAGTGACATTTGCAGAAAAGTGCTAATTTGCATGCTGTGCTGTAACAAACCTTTTAAAGATTAACACACATTGGTTGTGGTTTCTCCCGGGTTTAAAAGGTGGAGGAACTTGCTTGTGAATGAGAGAGCAGCTGGTCTGGGTGTTTACTTGGCTTGTGCAACTGAAAACTGGTTTCATTTCTGATCCTAATGCATGTGTCTCATTTGTTTCTGTTGCGTTCACATGTTCCCCAGTAGTAAGAAGCTATGCACTGGTTTATCAGGTTGCTGCCGTGACTGCTTCGTGGTGTCTCTGCCAAGCACTGCCGCATACTCCTGATCTCCTCGTTACTAATTTGATTGTAGCTATCATGTGAGCTCCTGCCCCAGAGGAGTTTCTCCTCAGTGTTTTGAACAGTTGGCCACAGAGGAATAACTTGTGCGCAGCACAGCCTGTGTCTGCAAGGCAGGCTCTGGAAAGCATATGCTCCTAAGCAGCTTGCCTTTAACTATATGTGATTAAATATCTGTATCATAAAAACTCCAGAGAGAAGGGACTGGGCTCAAGTTAAACTCTGGGTACCAAGGCTCGCGTGGAGAGCCACGTGCAGTGTCGATCCCCAGGGAGCTGCAGAGAAGTGGTGTCACCTCCCAAGTCCTGCCTTAGCTGTGGGTATTTCTGCCTGTTGGAGATTGCATGGTTGTGTGTTCAAGCCCAGAAATACCAGAAACAATCTGGTTTAACCAGCACCCACAGGAAATGCTTGACTTGAGTGAAAGATAGAAGTGTAGTTCCTCAAGTCCTGTTGCTCCAAACCAAAGCGATGTCCTTTCTGTTCCTCGGTGCCACCACCTTGCTCAGCCAGGGTGATCTATTCATCTGGCTAATGATTATCTGGGAAAGCAATGCCACGAAGTATGCTGCAGGTTGGTATGTAGCCCTTAACACACTTGAATAGTGCCTGTCTTCAAAGTGCAGCTCTGTTTGCATCTGCTGGGATACTAATGGGTTAAAACACTGGGGCAGGGAAGGCAGATTGTCCTGGTGTGTGAGGGGTTAAGCTGTTTGCCTGTGCTAAACATCTGCTACAGGAAAAGCTGCTGGTGCAACTTGCAGGCATTATTTTAAGTGTAGCTGACTCTTGATGTGAAGTGAGGTTTAGGCCTCCCTGTGCAGATGAGTGAGGATCCATCTGGGTTCTCTTCAACCATCATGTACTTGTCCGTTTGACACCAGTGTCTGTGCAGCTCACTGTCTGCTCGCAGGTTCTCGCTGAGCTGTGCATCGTTCCTGCTCTGTCTCTCAGGTAGTGTTAGAGTCAGAAGATACTGAATTTAATGCGACAGCTCCTGGTGCTGGGCATCCTCAGTTTACATTTTTAGCCATCAAAGGCCTTCCAAAGATGTGTAAAAGGAACAGTAAAATCACGTCACTGTGGGATAACTGTATGATCATTTCTGTAGTAACATTCACTTGGGTGCTGGGCAGTGATGTGTGTTGTGAGGATTTTGCTGGCGCAGCTGGAGCCACAGGAAGAAGCAGGGAGGTGCTTGCCCCAGGAACACACAATGTGTCACAGCATTTTGTGTTCACTGATGTCTGCCAGGCACAATTTCTGTATTTGCACACCCTGGCCTGTGCAGTAGGATACTTCATACCCTGTTTCCCCTCAAGGTTCATGTCAACAGCAGCACGAAGTTTAGTGACGTTGCTGGAGCAGGGGCGACAGCACAGCTCTCCCTAAGGGTTTTGCCCCAGTGCTGGGAAGGTGAGAGGTGGAGCTCCCCCTTGCAGCCATGTGCTGCTGCTCTCCGGAGCTGTGCCATGGATCCGCATGAACCTGACAGTTGCTGCTGCTTCATCAAACTGACCTAACAGAAACTCCAGGGCTTTCCTACTGAGTGTCCACAGTGGCACCGAGGCACCACTGAGCACCAAGAGCAACATCCAGACAAAAACCTGTGTGCTGGGAATAAACTCCTGGGTCAGCACAGCATGCTTGTGCCATGCTGGTGGAAAAACAGCATCCATTTCTTCGCTCTCGTCTCTACTCTTCATTAAGGGAATACATAAGGTGTCAGGGAAGCCTTGTTTGTCCCCTGGGTGGTGGGGTTTGACCTGCTGCCCATGGAGGGAGAAGACCTTGATCAATGGCAGAGGCAGGCACTGCAGCAGTGTGGCCTCTTATGGCTGTAGTGTGTCCTCCTCATGATCTAAACAGCACTTTGTTTCCCAAAGTAAAGGTGGTGAGGAGCCTTTACTCCTCAGCAGGGTCACAGAGCTGGTGCCTCTCGCTGGGCTGTGCCAGGCTGCTGAGACTGGTGTTCTGTGCCATACTCTGTCCAGATACTCTGGGGTATCTGTCCAGGCAGGCCACGGGATGCCTTTCCCAGTCCCCTCAGGAGAGTTTCTGATCACCCAATGAAGGTGTTCTGTTGACCACAAAGCCTTTCCTCTTCTCTTGCAGATGAGCGGGTGGATCAGCGAACCTGCCTGATCTGCGGGGACAGAGCTACGGGGCTGCACTATGGGATCATCTCCTGCGAGGGCTGCAAGGGGTTCTTCAAAAGGAGCATCTGCAACAAGCGGGTTTACAGATGCAGTCGGGACAAGAACTGCGTCATGTCACGCAAACAGCGCAACAGATGCCAGTACTGCCGCCTGCTCAAATGCCTCCAGATGGGGATGAACCGGAAAGGTAAAGAACACTGGGCTTTTTACAGGGGAAGGTGCAGGCTGGGCTCCGTGCTAGCAATGGGAGCTGCCCAGCCTCAGCTGCCATTCTGTGTTGTGGTTCTGCCTCTCAAATTCTGGACAAGAAAAAGAGAAACTTCAGCAAAATTATGCATGGATAAAAAATTCTTCCTGAACTACTTGGTTACTGTATTGAAGGGAAGATCTGTATGAAAGCACGTATTTGGAGGACTTATCCTTGTGATCCCTTTTTTCAGGGAAGGTGACAGTTTGTTACTGTCCTTCCTGATGGATCTGGCCTTGCATTTACCCTGAGTGAAGTGGTCACTGTTTTTATGCCTCGATATACTAATGTGGCAAAACCCAATACATTTAAATAGGCTTTTAAAATCCCCAGAGATCTGAGTCAGATTTACCTGTTTGTTGTGGGAGCTTAGACCTGCCGTTGCTCCCCAGTCATGAGGGTCTTCACTTACCACCCATCTCTGGTTGATGCGGCACAGTGGTGTGGGGCTGGGAATGCTGAAGGTGGTTTTGCCAGGTACAGGGTCACTGTGGAGCACATGTGATCTGGGTTAGCCATTCCTTATTCCCCACATGTGCAGAGAAATGAAATGCTACGGTGTCATCTTCAGGATGGAAAATCTTTATTAGCTCAGAAGTTAATAATAACAAATAGACCGGAATAGACTCCTCACTGCAATCTATTGCCTTTTTAATCTCTGGAAATGTTGTTATCCGTTAAAGGCAGAGACTTACTGGTTTAATGGCAACTGACAGGAGATGGAGCAGGAGTGGGTGCTGCCATAGTACAGGGGCTGTTCATGCTCCTTTCTTCCCTCATGGACAAGCTGGTGGGCTGGTAGGAGGGACCCCTTCCTGGCCACCAAACAGAGGTGTCATCTTATGTTTTTCAAGCGTAGCTATTGATGCCTTCAGTGTCATCCTTCATGTGAAAGCTGCCTGTCAAAAGCACTAAAACTTCCATCAATTTACTGCAGATCCGCCAGGATCTTCCTTAGGAAGAGTATCTTGGGGCTGAGATGGAAAGCTTATCTCCTGACCGCTTCGATTACAAATGATCTTTGGGAGTTCCACTTGCTGGGGACAACAACTGAGCTCCCGGTCATGAGACTGTAGCGCTTTGTGGCCAGAACCCGGCCGGGTTCGTTTATCCTAGGGGTCTGCAGCGTGAACTGCTCCGCGCCTCCGGGATCTTACCACCCGGGGGGCGGTGTTCGGGGTTTTCTAAGTCCCATCGCTCGCTGTCAGGTCCCTGCCCGGTCCCTGCCTGCGCTGGCGTTACCGGTAGCGGCAGCGGGGGGCGCCCCCCCCCGGGGGCACCGCGGCCCCCGCCG